AGGGTTTAGGGTTTAGGGTTTGGAGTTGAGGGTTTAGTGTTTAGGGTTTTCTCTACGCAGTGGGGGGCCCCCCGGGGCCCTTCCTGGCTGACAAAAGCTGAAGTAGAAAAACTAAAGTTAAATAAAATAAAACAAAATAAAATAAATAAAATAATAAAACAAAGCTAAATAATTAAAACAAACAAAGTTAATTCAAATAAAATTAATCAAAATAAATAAAATAAATTGAATGGCTACAAATTGGTCTGAAGTCAGTTTCTCCTTCAGGACATAAAAAGGAAAAAAAAGAAAAAAAGAAAATCAAAAAATAAAATAAATAAAAGACAAAAGGGACAAATAAGAATTAAAAAAGAAACAAAAAAGAACTAAGGCAAGAAATAAAAAAAGAAATTAAAATAAATCAAAAGAAATTAAAAGGAAACTAAAAGAAATTAAAAATAAATTAAAAGAAATTAAAAGGAAATAAAAATAAAAAGAAACAAAAAAAGACAGTAAAGTTTTCAGCTAACAAAAAGTGATAAAGCGCAAAGGATGGGAAGAGCTGCGCCAGCTGCAAACCCTAAACCCTAAACCCTAAACACTAAACCCTAAACCCTAGGAGCAAAAGGGCAAAGAAGTCTTTTTTGCATTTTCTGGAGTTTTTCCTCCAGGAGAATTTTTCAGCAGCGCCAACTCCACCCCAGTGCCTATAAATAAATAAATAAATAAATAAATAAATAAATAAATGGATAAATAAATAAATAAATAAATAAATAATAAAATAAATAAGAATATAAATAATAAATAAATAAATAAATAAATTCAAAAAGCAAAAAAGCAAAAAGTGGCAAACCGGAAAAACAAGAAAACGGAAATAAATGGACGAGAAATGAAATTCAAAAGTGGAAAATAAATCATTAAATAATTAAAATTAATTTAATTTAATTTGATTTAATTTAGTTCAATTTAATCTAATTATTTTAATTTAATTTAATCTAATTTAATTTAGTTTAATTTAATTTACTAATTTGAGCTAATTTAATTAATCCAATTCGATTTAATTTGACCGAAAAACGAAAAATCGAAAAAGCGACAAGAGAAATAAGTAAAAACAAATAAACAAACAAATAAATAAATAAATAAAAATCAAATTAATAAATAAAAATAAATAAATAAATAAAAATTAAATTAATAAATAAAAATAAATAATGGAAAAAATCAACAAATAAAATTCGAAAAAGAAAAGACCCACAAGACTGTTCGAGGAGCTGCAGAATTTCATTTTGAGTTTTTTCTCTTCTCTTTTTTATTTTTTGTAAATCCCCAATTGCTTCTTTTCTCAAGTTCAAGACCATTCTGAACAAACAAACAAAGCCTAAACCCTAAACCCTAAACCCTAAACCCTAGGCCCTGGGGTTCACAAGGCGCGGCCCAGGCAGCAGTTTCAGCGCCAGCCAAAAAATAAGCCTAAACGCTAAACCCTAAACCCCAAACCCTAAACCCTAAACCCCAAATTAGGGTTTACGTCAGCCCGCAGCAAGCAACAGGCCGAGGCCTCCGCAGCGCCCCTCCTGCGTCTAAAAATTCACCAATTAGTCAACTAAATAAACACCAAGCCCAAACCCTAAACCCTAAACCCTAAACCCTAAACTCTAAACGCTAAACCCTAAACCCTAGGAATACCCGTTAAGAGCTTCTTCTGCTTGTCTCCTGGAGGCGGACTCTTCATAAATAGCCTTCTCCGCTTCTCCCAGCGCTGCAAACGCCAAACCCTAAACCCTTGCAAACCCTAAACCCTAAACCCTAAACTCTCCTTAACCCTAAACCCTAAACCCTAAACCCTAGCGCCTCAAAAGACCCCTCAAGAGCGGACCATCGTTTAGCTTCGCTGTCAACGCGTCAGCCGCCGTCTCTCTGCGCAGAAACCCTAAACCCTAAACCCTAAACCCTAAACTCTGACACCAAACCTTAAACCCTAAACCCTAAACCCTAAACCCTAAACCCTAAACCCTAACCTGGTTGATTTGACGTGAGCCAGAGAAGCCCAGAGCTCTCTGCATTTCTCCTTCGCCTTTGTCGGGGGCACAGCAGCCTCCCAAGACCCTGAAGGCAGCCCCCAAACCCTAAACCCTAAACCCTAAACCCTAATCCCTGAACCCTAAGCCGTAAACCCTAAACCCTTAACCCTACACCCTAAACCCTAGAGTGGGCGAACAAACTCGATCCAGAGGCCCTGAGACATTTCAAAGGCAATCTCTTCTAGCCCGTAACTTAGGGCCAAGAATTTAGGGTTTAGGGTTTAGGGTTTAGGGTTTAGGGTTTACTCTCTTTGTTTTTGTGAAAGAGACAAAGACTGTTTATGAGCTTTTCGCCTTCCGCCCTCAAATGCTCCAGAACTGTCTCTCTTTGCTGCAGCAAAAGGACAAATTAATTGAATTTATTTTTATTTTTATTTTTATTTATTTTTATTTCTTTATTTCTTTATTTCTTTATTTCTTTTTAATTCTTTTGAATAAAATAATATATCAAAATTAATTAATTAAATAATTATTTTGTTATTTATATTTATTCATTTATTTATTCATTTATTTATTTATTTCTAAATAATAAGATGAAATTACCTGTTTAATTTGCTTCAGCTCAGCTGCTGCAGCTTTCTCTATTGCTGGCAGCGCCGAAAGCCTTTGCTGCTGCAGCTGCTGCTGCTGCTGCTGCAGCGCAGCAGCAGCAGCTTCGAGACCCAGCACCTCTTGCTGCTCCACCTGCAGCACCACCACCACCAACAGCAGCAACAGCAGCAGCAGCATGAGCAGCAGCGGCAGCAGCAGCAGCGGCAGCGTTTCCTGGCCTTTGCAGCATTACTCAAGATTTATTATCGATCATTTATTGTTTGTTGTTTATTACTTAATTATATTTATTTTATATTTATTAATAGTTATTACTGTTTATTATTTATTTATTACTTATGTTTATACCCAAGCAGTCATTTGCTTGAGCAAAGCTGTGATGCAGCAGACACAGCAGCAGCAGCAGCAGCAGCAACAGCAGCAGCAGCAGCAAAGCAGCAGCAACAGCAGCACTAGCAGCAACGGCAGAAACAGCAGCAGCAGTAGCAACAGCAGCAGCAACAAGGGCAATCGCAGCAGCAACAGCAGCAGCAACAACAGCAGCAGCACAAACAGCAAAAACAGCAGCAGCAAAAGCAGCAGCAGCAGCAACAAAGGAACGCATGCGCACTTTGTAGTGAAATAGATATATAAATAAAAAGCCATTTAGCAAATAAAGAACTAAACATGTATTTAGATTTATTTTTTTTTAATTTTATTCTATTTATTTTTTATTTCTTTTATTTATTTTTTTATTTTATTTTATTTATTTTATTTATTTGTTATTTGCTGCACCTGTACAGACAGCCGAGTCCAGTGCTGCAGTTTGGCCGCCCTAGTTTCTAAGGCGGCGAGTTGGCCCTCGAGTTCGTTTTCCATCTCAAACCGTAAACCCTAAACCCTAAGCCCTAAACCCTAAACCCTAAACCCTAAACCCTAGAGCTGCCGCGAAAGCCTCAGCGGCTCACCGCAGGGGCCCCAGGGGCCCCCTTGTCTTTGGGAGAAATTGCAGCGCGAAAAAAGGCCCTGAAAGGCTCAACGAAACTCTAAATCCTAAACCCTAAACCCTAAACCCTAAACCGCCGACGCGCCGGGGTGTACGTACAGCTGGTCCCGCTGCGGCGCTGCTGCGGTGCGGCCCTCCCGGCCGCCACTTTTGATGAAATAAATATTTGAATTAAAAAATAAAAACAAATTAAACATTTCAATTTAATTTAATTTCAAAAATTAACTTCAAAAAACCCGCAAAGTCACCCAGAGGTGCCCCCGCGCGCGCGGGGGCCCCGCCACCGTCAACCCCACTCAGGGGGGCCCCCTTTTCTCATTTTCTTCGTTTTTTGTTTAAATTTATAATTAATTCAAAATAAATTAAAATTAAATTATTTATTTTATTTTTTTGTTTCTTTTTTATTTCTTTTGAGCCGCGTTTTACCCCCAAAGGCACAGCAGCAGCGGCTGCCCCATCACCACCCAGCCTCTAGGGTTTAGGGTTTAGGGTTTAGAGTTTTCGACTTCGGCAGTTCCTTTTCGCTTAGATCCAGAGCCACTCTTATCGAAGGTTTAGGGTTTATGGTTAAGGGTTTGTGGTTTAGGGTTTAGCGCTTAGAGTTTAGGGTTTAGGGTTTAGGGTTTAGTGCTTTTATTTCCATCAAAATCCTCAATTCTTTTGTTCGTTCTTTTAAAAATCAAATATAAATTTAAATTAAATTAAAAGTTATATTTAATTCAAAATTAAATATTGCATTTAATTTAAAACCAAAAATCAATTTGATTTAAAGTCAAATACAATATTCAATTTAAAAGTCGAATATGAAATAAATTTAAATTATGAAACTAAATTTAAATTTCAAAAATATGAATTTAAATCAAATAAAAAACTGAAAAACTGGAATTCATTTGAAAGACTTTATCAAATACAATTTAATTAATAGAATTCTGTTTTTATTTTCAAAATGCAATTTAATTAATTTCATTTTTATTTTTGAAATGCAATTCAATTCTAAAATTTCATTTTTATTTTTAAAATGCAATTAAGTTTAATGAGTTTCATTTAAAGAAAATTTAGATTACAGGTAAAAGCAATTCAAATAAAGAGAATTCCAATTAACTCAAAAAAGGATAAAGTACAAAAAATGAATTTTCCATTTTTTAAAAAATATAAATTCAGGAGAAAATCTTTTAATGAAATAAAGAAACTTTCAAATCTTTTAAATAAAAAATTCAAAAAGTCTTTCTTCTTTAAAATCAGAAAAGTACGTTTTCACTTTATTTAGGCATTTGCACTTTAGAGAAACTGGAAATGAAAGAATACAAAAGTAGTAAAATAAATAAATAATTTAAATCTAAATAATAAAAACAAAAAATGCGCATGCATGCGGGGCCAAAAATCTCTAAAGGAACATTTTAAAACATTTAAATGTGAGACACAGTTCCCTCAAAGTACCCAAAAGAGGTTACAGGGGGCCCCTGGGGCCTCGTTAATAAAAATGGCTTTAAAAGGGTCTCAGGAGGCCCTCAAGAGGGCCCCCAGGGGCCCTAGGGGGGGCCCCCAGGGGGCCCCTTTAAGTGGCCCCCAGTGGCCTGAGTCCTTCAATAGTTCAGGGGATAATAGGGACTCTAAAGAGAGAAGTAAATAAAGAGTCCTAGAGGAATTAATTGTACCCCCAGGGGGCCCCTAGGGGCCCCAGGAGTCCCGGGGGGCCCCCGGGGGCCCCCAGGGGCCCGCTGGAGGGGCCCCCGTTGTGTCGCAGGACTTCTTTATGCCCTGATTGGGTTTTGAACTGGTTTAATTATATTTCTTTTTGAAGAATTTAAATGAATATTGGATTCGTTATTTGATAAAATCGAAAAGGTTTTTATCTGCGAACTTCACTCAAATGCACTTTTCAAACATTGAATGAAAAGCCTTTCTCAGGAGCTGCATGCAGCTCAGAAGCTGCATGCAGCTAAGTTCAAAAAGTCCCAGAAGGCCCATAATTTAATTATTTGCAAAGCGTTTTTTTGCAAAATTTCCAGAAATAGAAAATACCGTTTGGTGTTGTTGACCTCTATTTTGGTGGAAAATGTGCAGAAAAAGACAAATGTTATTTATTTATAAATGCACATTTGGGTATAAAATGAACTGACTCGCAGTAATAACTTGAAAGCAAAAAATTCCGGATTAAATAGGGGTATTTTTTGGTGTGTTTGAAGTATAATGAAGCATGCGTTTGAGGGAAGCGATAAATTGAAGTTAAATCTGGAAATTTTCATTAAAACAAAAAGAATTACCACTGAAGTTCTTTAATATCGCAGAAATGAAAGTTTTGTGCAAGGAATTTCATTTGGTGTTACGGAAGAGTTGAGAGCGCTCAGGTGTATCCTCACCTGTGTGTACGTGCACCCGGGCGGCCATTAAATGGCGCTCGACCTCCGGGAAAATTCAATTCAAATTTAAAAGTAGTTTTAAATTTAAATATAGTTTTAAATTTAAGAAATAGATTTCAAAAGTGATTCAACTGCGCCGCACAGAGCTCTCTGCATGCGTCCGAGCAGCCAAGGCGGAGAGCAGGAGCTCGCTTGCTTTCGGCTATAAAATGGGATTTTTCGAGCAGCAGAAGACCTGGAAAGCCTAAGTTGTCTATTTTAAATTGAAATTAAAACTAAAATTGTATTTTTGTCGGGCGATTGTCGCGGGAGAGCCGCGAGCGTGAGGCGGAGCTGCGTGTACACCGCAGCAGGAGCAGCTGCCGATACACTCGAGAGCCACCGGCCTTCTGCCCTCTTTTGGGGGCCACTTTTGGAGTTTTTTGTTCGTTTTTTCGCGAACTTGAAGGTCTAAATGGATTTAATTTGATTAAGGGGATTGTTTCCCGCTTTTGGGGGCTGGAAGGGCCTGGATTTCTCAGCTTTCCGCGGAGTCTCGGCGGGGCAGTGGTCTGTGGTGTCCGGCCGGGCAATCTGGATCTGCGCGGCGGCCCTCCGCGCCTGCGCGGGTTTGTTTCAGTTTTGCTTGTTTTTATTTTTGCATTTGGGGTTTACTAGGTGGATTGGGGACGGAAATGCTTCTGGCGTTGCTGCAGCTGCTGCTGCTGCTGGCGGCGGGGGCGCGGCGGCGGCGGGGTGTATGTACAGCTGGCGCGGGGTGTCTGTGGACTGTGGGGGCGCTGTTTGGGCTCGTTGGAAAGCCCTGCTGCTGCTGGTGGGTAGCAGCAGCAGAGCAGCAGCAGCAGGAAGCTGCGGAGCCCGCAAAAAGGCCCTACAGCCTGGAAGAAGTGCAGCAAACTCTGGAACTCTGGTGGCCCGAAAGCGCCGTCTTCGACTTCGACGCGGCGCTGGCGCGGGCGCGGGCGCGGGCGCTGCGGCGGGGCCCCTGGGGTGTACAGACACTCGACAAAGCGCTGCTGCAGCAGCAGCTAAACGTGGAAATGGAGAAGTTTGTGGCGCAGCAGTTTGCTGCTCTTCGCCGCGAAGACCCACTGCTGCAGCAGGTCTCGCTGCTCGCCGACTGGGACGTGCTGCTGCTGCTGCGGCAGCAGCTCACTTCCAAAAGGGTCAAAACTTCTCTTTCCGAACAACAAATTAATTCCATTTTCCAGGGGGCCCCCCGACTGTACCCTTGGCTGCCCCCCGCTGCATGCCCCCACCAGCCCCGCCCTTTGGAGGCCCTTTTGGGGGCCCTCAGCCCCACTTGTTCCCCCGACGAGGGCCCCACGCTGCTCTGAAGTGGGCCCCCAGGGGGGCCCCAAGGGTCCCCAAGGGGGTCCTTCAGGGGGCCCCGGGGGGCCCCAGGGGCCCGGGGGGGCCCCCTTTGGGAGCCAGGGGGGGCCCCTGCAGGGGGCCGCTCAGGGGGCTTGAGGGCCCCTTTAGGGGGCCCCCTCCGGGGGCCCCAGCGGGTAAGATGGCGAAGAGGCAGGGGGAACCACAAAGGTGACATGGGGGCCCCCAGGGGGCCCCCTGGGGGGCCCCCAGGGATTGACTCGGGGGCCCATGCTGCGTGGGAGGGTAGAGGGGCCCCTGAGGACCTTCTCTGGGGGCCCCTGAGTCTGCAGGTGGGGGCCGCTACGGAACTTAGGGGGGCCCCCTTTTATTTGGGTTTTTTTGGCAAGATTTGCTGCTAAAGGGGTACAGCTAAAGAGCCACAAAGAGCTCCTGCTGCAGCTAAAAGCCAGGGGCCCCCATGTGGCTGGGGGCCCCCTCCTAAACCCTTTTACAGAAGGGCCCCCGCACGGTTTAGGGGCCCTCGGGGCCCCCCCAGGGGCCCCCTGGGGCGCCCCTG